TAACATAGGGTGAATCCAGTTTATGGTTCCCAGCAGTTTCTGTAAATTGTTTAGGGTAGAGACATTGTTTGCGAGATGGAGTAGCTGTGGCTTAATAGGGTGTACAAACAATAGTCATCCAAGGTATTTCCATGGTGGCTCAGACTGAATTTTATCATGTGCAATACGCAGACCAAACATTTGTAAAGTTGCAAGTAAATGTGATACTGCTGCTTGCAATTCAATAATCGTAGCTGCAGCAGTGAGAATATCATCCATGTAATGATAAATTAATACATCAGCATAACTATCTCATGTAAGCTGGAGTGCCCCTGCTATGACAATTTGACAAATTCTTGGACTGTTCATCATACCTTGTGGCAGCACCATCCATTGATACCATTTCGTAGGTGTCTGATTGTTAACAGATGGCAGTGAAAAAGCAAAATACTGACAATCATCAGGGTGCAAAGGAATGGCAAAAAAGCAGTCTTTCAGATCTATTATATAAAGATTCCAATCAGTAGGGATCGTTGCAGGACTGAGAACCCCTGGCTGAAGGGGTCCCATTGGTTGTATGACTGCATTTATGGCACATAAATTTTGTAACAACCACCACTTCCTGGATTTTTTTTGAATAACAAAAATAGGAGCGTTCCATGAACTAGTTGATGGAACTAAATGCCCAAGCTGAACTTACTCTGCTACTAATTTCTCTGTTACTTGCAATTCTTCCCCTTTCAGAGGTCACTGATCAACCCAAACAGGCTTTGACATTAACCAAGTGAGTTTGAGTTGGAGCTTTGGATCAGTGACCCTTGAAATAAATTTGCCATCATTGTGAACAAAGTCATTCCCTACTGTGATAAAAGATGTCATCCCCATAAAGTCAAGGCAATGTCAAGAACCAAAGGCCGTAAAGTAGCTATCTTGTTTTCTGGACCTATGACATGCAGAGTTTTCGAGCTTTGCAAAGGTACTTGCATACCTCCAAGATCATTGACCGCAGCAGCTGCAGGAGATAGGGGCCACGGCAAAGGCCAGTCCTGTTTTCAGATGATAGAAACATCAGCACCAGTGTCAATTAGTCCAGTAAGTGGTAGTCCCTCAATGGTTAAGGATAACGTTGGTCGATCTATTGTAACCTTTTGATTCCATAAAATTTGTGGCATGTCTGTGTTACCCCATCCTTTGTTCCCTTGGATGGTAGCATTAGCTTTAGGAACAACATAAGGCAAAAGTAGAACCTGTGCCACCTTCTGTGCCCGTAGTATAGTACATGGAGGAGAAGGAGTCTAAACCATAACTCTAATTTCCCCTAAACTCTTAGAATCAATGACTCCAGGAACAATAAATAAGCCCTGTTTACTCACTGAGGATCTACCAATCACAAGACCCACAAAACCACACAGCAATGATCCATATAACCCTGTATTAATCAGCTTTGCTGAGCTGTCATTTAAGACTGTATCGGTGGTGGAGGCCAGATCCAGCCCTGCACTGCCTGCTGTGCTGGCGGTGAGGTCTGCGACTGTCTGTTTGCTCTCAAGCCTTGTGACCTCCAACACTGATGTTGCTGACATGGCATTACCAACGGTGCTGGTGAAGGCACCATGTGTACGCAATCGACCCTGTTGTATAAAGAAGCACCGAGTCTCGTGCCCCACTGCCCGTTTCCCTGAATCCGATTTCCCCGTTTGTCAAATTTAGACCGACACTGATTACTCCAGTGATATCCCTTTTTATACTTAGGGCATAAATCCTTTGGTTTTTTCTGCCCCTTTTTTGTTCTCTGTATATCAGTGCTTGGCTTTTTATCGGGACAATCCTTTTGAAGATGACCTGGTTGCTGACATTCAAGGCACCTTGCTTCTGCCTGTCTTACAAAAAGCTGTTGTGCAAAAGCATCTACTAACTGTGCAGATTTATGCTCCTCAGAGCCTATATTTTGACAAGCCCTGATGAATTCAGCTATCCTCTTTGCAGAGTTTTGCAATGGCAAAATAGCGCGCTGGCAGTCAGCATTAGCATTTTCATAGGCTAACTGCATTAAGAGTGATTGTAGTGCTTCCTCATTGTCAATCTGTTGAGTTAAAGCAATCTGCAGTCTATCAATAAATAAGGTTCTTGCAGACCCTGCCATATAGCTACAAACGATAATGGCCGTATCCCTTTTTCAGGGACACGTCTCAAACTTTTCATTGCTAATATAGTTATTTGTTGTAAGATCGACCTTACTAGATTTGCTTGAGCTTGTGGCGTGGCATATTCTCCTTCTCCCATATATTCTGCAATACCACCTGGGGTTAAACTTGCAATATTATCCGCAGTCTGAACCGCGGCAAATTCCCTATACTCTGCCCACCAAACAGTATATTGTGCTGCACTCAGAACCAATCTCATCAGAGATTTCCAATCATATGGTGTCATAGCATGAGATTCTCCAATTGTTTGCAACAAATTCACGGTATAATTATTCTGTAGCCCATAATCTCATATGGCCTTCCATACTTCTTTAACAATCTCATATGTGAGTTGCTGATATTCAGGAGGTCAGTTTGGCTGATATATCACAGCACATGCCATCCACATAGAGGAATTGCCTTTCTTAATAGCTTCCTCCTTTATTTTCTCAACAACAAGTTTGTAGGAAGGTGCCGACAGAGACATCAAAGGATGCTCTAAAAATTCTTTCAAGAATGGCTCTGCCCCTGCATTTGGTGGTGCCGCTTGAGCCATTGTTACAGGTGGGTTTGAAATACTGATAGGAGAAGGCAGCTGTGATTTATTTTTCAGAATTTGTTCAACTCTTGGAGATTCCACTGTCGCAGATTTAATAGACTTTATAGATGGGTATAAGTCTGACTCCTTTTCAGGATCAGTAGTATCAGGATCACATGAATCCACAGCCACTTTATCACAAACATGTTCTGCCGTGCCCTGATCGATGCAAATTAGGGGTTGCCATTTGCAAGTTGTTCCTGCCGTTTGCAGGAGTTCCTCAGCGGGCTGTAATCCAGTTAAAGCAGTGTAAACTGTCTGCCACGTAATAACTAACTCATCTGGTACCTTATAATGTAAATCTTTCTTAATCTGTAATTCCTCACCAACTTTTGCCCACAATTTTGTATCATAAAAGCCTAAACTAGGAAACCAGTTACAGCATTCCTTAACCCCTAGAAGTAATTGCAGTACCCAAGAAGTTAGTACTTTAAATCCTTGTTCGCATAATATACACTGTAATACTTCTGCATAGAGCTTGTGCTCTTTGGAGCTAAACTGCCCCATGATTACTAGGTCGCAAGGCTTACCCAAGGCCCCTGGAAAAAGTGTGCACACCGTCTGTTTTCTGCTTTAATCTGTTAGACCACGGTGCCACCGACGGAGTAGTTGATTTGTTGAATTTCTGTTTGGGAGCGGAAATTTGTCAAGTCCCTCTTTGGGTGCTGTTTGTTGTGGAAAAGTTTGTCAGATCCCTGTTTGGGTGCTGTCTTCAGCTGAGTCATTTATTTGTAGAGCTTCTGTCCGGGAGCCGTCTTCAGCTGAGTAGTTTATTTGTTGAGTCCCTTGCAGGACGCCATTTGCGGCAGGCTGAACGGCATGGACTCAGCTCTTGAGAGAAGCTAAGACAAAGTTTATTAGCAAGAAGCAGTATTTATGGGTTTCAAACAGGAGACCAGACTGTGCAGCCAGGATTGTTATTAGCTCATGTACTCCTTCAATCACTCTGTTATCACACAGGGAGAACAGACTTTCCCACGTCTGCTTTGATCATACTCTCCCGTTCACTCCCATGCACATCTTGCGTACAAGAAGTGTCTTATCTGTCCATTCTCACAAGCAAACTCCCAACATGAGCTGTACTTGGCTGGTCACGGTCTCTTTAGACTATTAGCAAGCAAGAGTTATGTACTTGTTTAGAAAAGAGCTCAAGGGCGAAAGTCTTAATTCTGCAACGCAGTGATGCCAGCACAGTCAGCTGTATAATGCAGGATATCCATATAAGAATACATTTCCTGCATAAGACAACAGAAGAAAATAAATTAAACTGTGTTTATTTTTCCCCCAGAAAAAAATGAAATCATTTTTATGTGATAGTGTAGTAGTTATTTCAGATCAGGGTGTTCTTATACTATGATATTTGCAACATCCTTCACATCACTTCTAACTTCCATATATACTAATTCATTTGTTTCTAGTAGATATTTAGATCCATAACATAGCAGCTAAAGAGTGAAAATCCTGAGCAGCACGGCAAAATAATTGTGATTATCTTAATCTATAGTTATATTAAAAGACATTTTGTAAAAAAATAAGGAGAAAAATCCCAGCAGCAGTAACTCTGAATGAGTAAAATCAGTAAAAGTCACATTCTAATATAAAATTAATGATACCAAAAAAAATTCTGTTCTCCCTTCTTCTTAATATGTGCTTACAGACTCAAAATTGCTTATGTGTGAACTGGAAGAGAGTATCAAACTTCTCATCTATGAAATGACTGCTGGAAAAAAAAATACAAAATCAATATTAGAAAACCTGATGTGCAGGTATTGCAGAAAATAGCTTAAAGGCAGTACTAGATTTTCAAAACATTACAATTTCTGAAGAAAAGTTTACAGAACATGGAGTACAAATAAAGCAAATCTCTCAATGAAAAAAACCATGAAAATAATGAGAATTTAAACTAACTTTAAAAATCCACTCTTAGTCATTAAAAAAAATGAAATAGACACACACATAAAGGGCATATACAAATCCAAAGACGGCGTAAAAAGCTTCCCAATTATTACAAACATATACGTAGTTCGGATTTTTTGGGGGGGGGCTGGTAATTTTTAGTTTACGTTGTAGACTTTACAGCAGTGTTTACCAGGTAACAGCTTGAGCCGTGACGTACGCAGAAAAACAGGCGGTAACCCCGCCCCTGCCGCTGCAGTCCTCAACCAGGTCGGCTCCGACCACATAAAAAACAGCCGTCGGCTCACTCGCGCTACACTGTAGCTTTAGAACTTATAGGGAGGATGTCTGGCAGAGGGAAAGGCGGGAAGGGGCTCGGCAAAGGCGGCGCCAAGCGCCACCGCAAGGTGCTGCGCGACAACATCCAGGGCATCACCAAGCCGGCCATCCGCCGCCTGGCTCGGCGCGGCGGTGTGAAGCGCATCTCCGGGCTCATCTACGAGGAGACGCGCGGCGTGCTGAAGGTCTTTCTAGAGAACGTGATCCGCGACGCCGTCACCTACACGGAGCACGCCAAGCGCAAGACTGTCACGGCCATGGACGTGGTGTACGCCCTCAAGCGCCAGGGACGCACTCTCTACGGCTTTGGCGGCTAAAGCTTTTGCTCCTGGATCATCTCGAAAACCCAAAGGCTCTTTTCAGAGCCACCCAACACCTCGACAAAAGAGCTGTGTTGCTTCAAACTTTGTGAAAAGCAGGTAAATTGTTTAGGTTTTATGTTGCGGATTGTGTTTTTAAGAACTATTAGATACAGTGTGAAGACATATTTAAGCACTTCAGTTTACTGAAAGTGTATTACTGGTACTTTATGGACTATTCTACTTTATTAAATAAAGGAAGGTTGCTTTTGATTTTAGTATCGGCAGCATAATTCTGATTCAATGATCGCATAACTCAATTTTTCGAATAAACAGTAATTACAAAGGAGCTCTGAGCAGCTACCACTTAGGAAAGCAAGTTCTTTTGACCTGGTATGCGTTGCCCTACGGGCATCTCACTTTGTAGTCTATTCTCACTAATTAAATAAACAGTAGTAAAAGTTTTTGTTTAAATTACGTTAATCCCTTGGACTGTGAAAATGTATGGGCGCAGGGTGGGAAGTGTCACAGTTGGTCTCTCACTGACTCAAAATTTTAAAAACCTGAATGATCTGTTCTCTTAAAGGTGGGTGTGTGGTTTTTATTTAGGGTTTTTTTGCACTTGTATTTTAGGGAGCCATCCATTAATCTTTGTCCGCTGTGTTAAGAGTTTAAAGAATTTTTTTTTTCAATTGCATGCTGAAGCCGGAGGAGTTCTCTATCCTGTGAGCACCAGTCTTCCCTTTGCCTGAAAGCCCTTCTCTGCTTGGCCTCCAAGGAAAGTTCTCCTGGACAGCAAAACATAGCAGAAATATTCACCAAGAAAACGGAAAGCTCACAGGCTGAATCTTGTACATCAGCAAGAAATAACCTGCTACTTCATGTGCTGAAATAAATTCATAATCCTTGAAATCACTATCCTTTGAATTAGAGCATTTTTGCATGTAATTCATCACAGCCCAAAAGAATTTACCATACCAGCCATGGTTTTAACTTTCTACTACTTCCAGATTATATTTACTCTATTAAAAATAAAAACAAAGGAAAACATACACACTCAAAAAAAAACTAAGGAGAAAGCAACCAACTCCAAAATAAGCAGTGAATGTACACACACTGTCGAAAAAGTAGTAGCCTCCAAAAGCCCTTTTAAATGTTCCTGTTGAGGAAAACCTGTAAAACACTTATTTTTCAAATTCTGTTTCAACGAAATAGAATAAAACATCATCCTTCTGTGAGTTAACGACAATAAAGTTTGCAGCTACACATTTCCCCTTTTAACTATTTTAGAGATAGACTACAAAAATTGTAACAATTAGAGCGGCCTGTATGTCACGGGGGAGGGGAGGAGGGCTTTTAGGCGGGTGAAAAAAGGCGCGCTGTCGAGGCGGGCTTTTCGAATTTGAAAGTACCCAATAAGAACGGGGAATTGGTCCTCAGCCAATTAGAGGGGAGAACATGCTATAAAAGACCCACACGGCAAGCGGAGCGGTACTACTCCGTGCTACTGGGTGGAAGAAGCAGTAGAGGTTTTCTGACGTGATGGCGCGCACAAAGCAGACGGCGCGTAAGTCGACGGGCGGGAAGGCGCCCCGCA